ACCAAAGCGTGAACGAATACGCTTCTAGGTGAATTTGACTTTGTCAACCAGGAAGACTTATTGTCTTTTTTTTTTTATTTTTAAATAGAGTGTTTATATTGGCCTAAATGCCACAAAACCCCATCTTTTTTGTCTTTAAGACCAAAGCGTGAACGAATACGCTTCTAGGTGAATTTGACTTTGTCAACCAGGAAGACTTACCGTTGGGCCCATTAGAACTGACAATTGACTTTCGGCAATCAAGAAGAAAATATCGACTAGGCAGCGGGGTGGTCCAGCGGTAAGCGGGTTCTTAAGAACTCTTGTGGTCCTGGATTCAAATCTTACCCTGGATTGGATTACCAAAAAAAAAAAATCGACTAGTCGCGGTGGGTGCCAACGCCCCCAAGACCCAGAAAATTATATATCACCCTTTAAAATTTTGAAAGGTTTCAAAGGGATGGTTTTGGAAATAACATGTTTGCCCCCCACACATATATTTAAGATTTTTATATGATGTTATACAGTTAATATGATAGTATTAACTTTGCCCCTTCAAGTTAATACTTCAGCAATATTCTACTTGTAGACTCCGACTCTTTCAGGGGTGATATGTTCTACTTTTCCACCAATTTTTATTTGGATGATACTTTTCCTTTTTGTGCGTAATGAAAGAAAGAACATACTAGTGACTACATTTTCATTTGTTTGCATGTGCTTTATTCAACTCTTCGGTGTGTCCTGACCGGAAAAGAGATAAGAAAATGTGCAATATTGGAATGGTCCACAAAATGTAATACCGTTTGAGACCAAATGGTGAAATAGACTCTTGGGCTGCTAAGGCTGTGGTAAATCTTTTGCTCCAATTCAAATTGCATAGAGTAGTACTCTCCATGTGGGTTTTTCTTTCTTTATTTGAAGATATATATGAGTCTATTTGGATAGGAGATTATTTAGGATAATTTTTTGAAAAAAAAACCATAGTTTATATATATATATATATGATGTATGTGAGACGAAAAAATAATTAAAAAAATGTGTTTATGATGCAAGTAATAAATTTGTGTAAATAATTCGCTATCCAAATGGTGAACCTTAATCATATTCATGTTCATTACTGTCGTGGTGGTGACATATAGAGTTAGGTGAATAAGTTCCATCTATTGAGAATTTGTACAATTCTATGCTTTCACGTATCTAACTCTTTGAAAATTTTTACACTTATTATAGGAATTCCAGTGCAGACATGGATTGACTTGGAGGAATTAAGGGTGGCCCACTGTTTGAATTTCCCGTCTCAAGTCTTAACTTGCCTGAGGGGAGGGGTTGAATCGAGTGATAAAGGAGAAGTTATTATTCTAAGTGTGAAATTTTGGATTTAAAACTTTTCACTGATTAAAAGAAAAGAGTAAATCTTATATACACTGACAGTGCATACACTATTACCGTTAGATTAATGACATATGTGCAAAAGTTAAATTTCAAATTTAAATTTTGTATAATTGTCATTCATCCAACGCTGACAGTGTAGAAAAGATTAATCCTAAAAAAGAAAATCTTAATCTGTCTAAGAAGATTTAAGAACATAATAACTGAACGACAATTATTTGAATGTTTATGTGTGAGATTAAAAGATAGTTGGATGATATGTTAAAAAATCTGTAAAAAGTTAAGAAAAAAAAAACTAAATGTTAATCTTTTGACCGATCAAATTTTTTGTTTAACCTTCCAAAATAGATTAAAGTGTTGCTTAGCACCTGATGATGAATAAGTTCTAATTGAATCTGCACTCCCAATAAGCCATTTTCTTAATTCAAAATTGTTATAATTAAATCTGATAAATGTTTAAGGGACTCTAAAAAAATTAACCTCCTACCCAAATGAGTTAAAAAAGATAAGATGTTCTCCTTGAATTAAGTGTGGAAGATTTTTAAAAAGTAGCAAACCTCTTTCAAATTACATAAACAATTACTTTATTCCTTTTCGCCTAGGCGATAGGCTAATTACTCCAAATTTTCAATTTACTACTAAAGCTCCGTCGAATGTCATGGACCAAACATGAATTGATAAAATGGCTTCTTTGAAACAACTTAATTGGGACATTGCTTGTTTTTGGGGCTGAATAGAGACGTTGGTCTACTTTAGAAAGTTATATTAACATTCACCCTTTCTTAAAAAAAAATTGAAATTCTAATAAAAAATATGCAGGCAATAGATGAGGGTGTATAATTATTTGAAAAATTAATCTTTTCAATAGTGTATACACTAGCAGGGTTATATATGCAAAACTTGAAGTTCAAATTAAAATTGAGGTTAAGGGCCATCTATTGTATATAGTATAACTATGTCAATATAAGGGATATTAATTGAATTTTTAATAAAAAAATTGAAATATTATTCGTTATTTGAATGGTAAATTGGACATAAAAAAGCTATATTAACTATTCACTAAAAATCCATAATCTTTATACTAATTTACCTTCAAATTAAATCATGATTTTGGAATAAACCCTGAAAATCACTATTGCGTAAATAACCAAAGATTGGCAAAATTGGAATTCAAGTTATTAGAAAATTATAATGTAGATAGTCCAAAATCCAATTCAGCCTAATATTAATTCAATATGAGGGTCCAATGGTTTTGGCTAATTTCTCAGATTATTTGTATTTAAAAAAAACAACCGTCAAATACACCTCTGACAGGGGTTGTTTCTAAATATATAGCGGCCGTGCTGACTCAGCACGGCCGCATAACTAAAAATTCCACCCAAATCTTCTCTGCAAAAAATTTAATGGTGCATAATAGGTGTCAGACGGGGACGCGCTGACTGGGCACGTCCCCGTCTGACTAAAAACTGACTGGCGTGGGCATTTGTCAGACGCGGACGTGCTGAGTCGGCACGTCCCGCCTGACAAATGCTCAAAAAAAATAGTTTTAACGTCCGCGGCAATTGGTTTCTGCATTAAATGAGATGTCTCTGGCCTTCTGCCAGCTAAAGTGGATAACTAAGACAGGTGTTATACATTCAATAGAGTGTTATTACATCTGCCAATAGATGGAATGGCGTCTGAAAAGTGAAATTCCTTTTTCTTTATTCCTAGAACCGACTTTCTTCCATCAAGTTAGGGTTTGACGTCTATTGCTCCAACTCATACACAAGCCTGATTATTAGATTTTGTTTGGAAAGTCATTTTTTTTGTCAAAAACAAATTTTTATGTTATTTTTAGTAATTTTTTTATTATATATATTAAATTATTATATTATATTTTTAAATAAAAATTTTAAAAATTTCCCCGCATCAAAATTTCAATGATGTAAGAGAGAATAGAATCCGCAATAAATGTTGATATTTATTATTTTGTTTGGATAGAGTATTATTTGAAATAATTATTGTAGTACTTTTTATGATGTGATGTATATGAGATAAAATAATAATTGAGAATATAAAAAGGTGAGTTGGAAAATACATTAAATTATTATATTATATTTTTTAATAAAAATTTTAAAAATTTCCACGCATCAAAATTTCAATGATGTAAGAGAGAATAGAATCCGCAATAAATGTTGATATTTATTATTTTGTTTGGATAGAGTATTATTTGAAATAATTACTATAATACTTTTTATGATGTGATGTATATGAGATAAAATAATAATTGAGAGTATAAAAAGGTGAGTTGGAAAATACATTAAATTATTATATTATATTTTTTAATAAAAATTTTAATAATTTCCACGCATCAAAATTTCAATGATGTAAGAGAGAATAGAATCCGCAATAAATGTTGATATTTATTATTTTGTTTGGATAGAGTATTATTTGAAATATTATTTGAAATAATTACTATAGTACTTTTTATGATGTGATGTATATGAGATAAAATAATAATTGAGAATATAAAAAGATAAGTTAGAAAAATGTATATAATGCAAGCGAAATATTATTTGAGATATTTGTGCTATCCAAACACTCCTATTATTTTTACAGTAGTTTCTTTCTTAAACGAATGATGGACAAAGAATCTAAATTGGAACTCCTAAATAATTAAATTTTTTGACGTGGCACAACCACCTCCAATCCTATTTCCCAAATGTAGCTGACAAAGAACTCAACGAGCCGCACCAGATAGTTTCTTCTTCTCATCACAAAAACCGCCAAAATTACAAGTGTCCCATACCCAAGTGGACCCCACTAATCCTATCCCTACCCACGGGAATCATCGCCCGTCCCTGAACCTCACTTCACATGCTCCCCTCGCCCGTCCCAGACCAGTCAGTTTTCAGTCAGACGGGGACGTGCCCAGTCAGCACGTCCCCGTCTGACACCTATCACCACTGAATTTTTTGCAGAGAAGATTCCGGTGGAATTTTTAGTTATGCTATACATTTAGAAACGCCCTGTCAGAGGTGCATTTGGCGGTTATTTTTTTTAAATACAAATAATCTGAGAAATTAGCCAATGGTTTTCATACACTCCTTTTGGTGAGTCTAATAATTTCTAGGTACTCCCTCTAGAGAGATTCAATAAGTTTTCAGGTACTCTTCCCTGATAAATTCAACGAGTTCTAGGAAGGAAATTAGACTTACTACCGAGATAAACCACAGCTACAAATTAAAAGTTCCAGTATAGACTTATCACACGCATACTCAAAATGAAATTGCCATTCTAAAACAAGTACAATGCTCAAATTGAGTTTTTTTCCATAAAAACTAAAAGTCTGGCAAAAATATACGTCGAACAAAGCATTCAACCATTAGCTGCTCTAATTCTAGAATTCCACGCCTTTTGACAGCTAATTAAGTGGCAGTCCATTTTGGGGTTTGGAAAATGAAACTTCTTTTTTTTTTTTTTTTTTTTTCGAAACATCATAAATTCATTTCATTTTGTAAACTTGATATTACAAGACTTAGGTACATCAGATTCGCCTCCTCTGAAGTCATTTTGGGCTTCCTCTTGGAGCCACATGGGAAAACATACATCCCATTCAACATTTGTTGTTAGCTTTACAGCAAATTTTGCTACACTATGTGCACATCTATTCCCATCTCTATGCATAAAAGAGAAAGTTCAAACAAACATCTCATATTTGCTATATCCTCAAGGATGACCACGATGTTGTTTTGCTGCTTTTGTTTCTTGTTTATCATGTCCACCACCTCTTTGCAGTCTGATTGGAGCTCAACTGCCCTCCAGTTTGCTTTCCAGGCCATTTGCATTCCCATCCTAATTGCTGCTGCTTCCTCCACCTGTGGCTCACTACGTTTTAGTTCAGCTCTTGCCCAAACTTTCATCAGCTCTCCTTCAGCATTTCTGGCCACAACACCTATGCCTGTTCTCTCCAAATTTTGTGAAAATGCAGCATCAGTGTTTAGTTTTATCGTACCTCTTGATGGTGGCCTCCATTTTCTAAGCCACAACCTTTTGTAGCCCATAAGTACAGTACCAGTGGCCTCACCACACTTTTTCTGATCTGGCAGGTATTTATGATGAACACCTGAAGGCCTCCTGGAAGTGCAAATTCGACGGTACCGCCGCATAAGATGTCACCTTCTCTCGTTTTGTACCTATAACTTAAAGTTTTTTCAATATATAGTTCCTTTTATTATCATAAAAAAGAAAAGATGTCGGCCTTCATGTTGTCTAAAAATTTATTGTATTTGTGTTGCGTGCTTTGTTTATTTATTGTTACGACCAGAGCACAAGATAATAGAAACCCCGATCAGATTCTTGATAAAAGATGTGATAACACTGATCTCATTATTGCTGCTAACAGTACGTACCAATCCAACCTAAATTTCCTCCTTACCACTCTATCTTCAAATGCCTCAAGGGCTGCTAACGGCTTCTATAATTCGACTTCCGGCGGCGTCCCACAAGACATCTCTAACACAGCCTGCGGCCTCTTTCTATGTCGAGGCGATGTTAGCAGTGATGTGTGCCAGAGATGCGTGAGCAGGGCCTGTAGGGAAGCGCTAGAGCTATGCCCGGATCAAAAGACTGCCATTTTTTGGTATGACAAGTGCTTGTTACGTTATTCGAGTGAATCCATCTTCTCCAGGTTGGATGTGAGTTTTGGATGTGAGTGTGGTGATAACTCAGTATGCCTCCTCAATGTCAGTGACACTGATCGGTTTAATCAGGTATTATTGAGCACGATGGATGAGATAGCAAGAAGGGCCTCAATTCTTGATTCAGGCAAGTATTTTGCTGTTCAGGAAGCCAAATTTTCAGTTTTCAGAGTTTATATGCACTTGGACAGTGCACGCCAGATCTTTCCGGTGCAGATTGCCATTCAAGCCTTAGAGATGCTATTTCTGTTCTGCCTAGTTGCTGCCTCAGTCGCCTGGGAGCTAGAATTCTCTTGCCTAGCTGTAATATTAGATTTGAGAACTGGCGCTATTACAATATCTCTACCCCTGCACCACCAAGTCCGCCTCTGCCTCCTCCTTCCAGTCCTCCTCCAGCAAGCAGTAAAGGTTAGCTTCTGTTTCAGAGTCTGCGACTAAATCCGATACTATCCAAATAAAACCACCCGTCGTCAACTGGAACGTTCCGTCGTGATTCATGAATTTAAATTGCCTACAATAACTGCACAACTCTCTAGCTAATTAATCACCTTTTGTGAATGCAGGAAAAAAGCGGCAAATCTCAACTCGGATCATAGTCGGTATTGTTGCAGCATTCCTTATTGCCAGTGTGCTGTTCATCTTGGTCTGCTGCTTCGTAGCAAGTAGATCAAGGAAGAGATACAAAACCATAGTAAAAAATGCTGGTAATTTTAAGGATGGAAAATATAGGCATTAATTACAATTTATCCCCTAAGGTATATCTTGATTCTTGCTTTATCCCCTAACCTTTATTTTTTTATTATTTAAACCCCTATGAGACAAAAATACACCTTTATTATGCTAAATTATTATTTTTAATTTTTTACTTCCTTCAAACAATAAATTTTAACATGTGATTTGGTTTTGATTACTCTAATTGGTGGTGATATAGTTTCACATGAAATTAGTACATATATTAAGGAATACACTAATAATATACTTTTAAAAACTCCTAATAAGAAAAAATGCATTAGTGAAAAAATAGCAAAATAAATGTCCAATAATTGACATGTAAACGTGCAATTATAAAGATGGATAATTGATTTGAATTCCTAATTACAAGGAAATAGAATGCAATTTTTTTTTAGAATTTTTTAAGTTGGAGAATAGATGAAATTGATTTGCAAAAATGTACATATAATTTCTTCAATTTTGTAAATTAGACAATGAACATCCTAAATTTTTTGTTAGAGAATTTTTTTTATTTTCTTAAAAAAATTTTGAAAAAAGAAAATTAATTTAGATTAGAAAAGAGAAGAGAGACCAAAAAAAAAAAAAACCCAACGTAATAGAGAGGTATTTTTTGTATCTTAGAGGGTTAAGTAAGAAAGAATAAAGATAAAGGCTGGGGAGTAAAGTGATAATCAAGGTATATCTTAAGGGAATAAGTTATAAATAACCCAAAATAGAATGAATAAAATCACTTCTATATATACTTACATTTCCTTCTTAATTGACTCTATCTGCTTCTTTTCCATATCTAGATGGGATTGATATCTCAACCATAGAACCATTACACTATAACCTAAGTGATATTCAGGCTGCAACAAACAACTTCGATCGTGATAACAGGATTGGAGAAGGTGGATTCGGGTCAGTTTACAAGGTACCAGAATATTCGGTGATTCATTGCAAGAATGCTTATATATTGGTCTTTACTGAATTCTCAAGGCACATTCTAAGAGGTAAATTGTTTTTACAATTCTTTTCCTGTCATACATTCTAAGGGTACTCTTCGTAATGGACAAGAGATAGCTGTGAAGAGGCTATCTAGAAGTTCGACTCAAGGTGCAGATGAATTTAAAAATGAAATTCTACTGGTCGCAAAGCTTCAACACAGGAACCTGGTTCGAGTGCTGGGCTATTGTCTGCAAGGAGAAGAAAAGGCTCTTATCTATGAACTTGTTCCAAACAGAAGTCTTGACTACTTTCTTTTTGGTCGGTTTTAATCCGTGCTTCTGTCTTTCTCTTTTTCTCCTTTTACTTTTTTTTTTGCCTTCTCTTTGATTAAATGACCACAATATGAAGAAATGCTCCCTTGAAACATCAAAGCGAGATGAAAGACAGTCATCTTGTGGAAAGCATTGTCATAGTTCATGAGATTAACAGGCAAGTTTTTTTCCTTTTTTGGTCTTCGTGATAACATAGGCACAGAAAAGCAACAGACATTGGATTGGTCGACACGACACAAGATCATCGAAGGAATAGCAAGAGGACTTCTTTATCTACACGAAGACTCTCGCCTTAGAATTATCCATCGTGATCTAAAAGCTAGCAACGTCTTACTAGATGCAAATATGAATCCAAAGATAGCAGATTTTGGCATGGCAAGGCTTTTTGCAGTGGATCAGACTAAAGGATCTACAAGTAAAATTGCCGGGACATTGTGAATGCTTCACCCTAATCTTGTAGTAATTATGTTTGTAGAAAATTATGCATATAATCATCTAGTATATTTGACGCTTTTATATATGGTCACGTCATTTACTCTTATATATGATAGTTAGTTAATTTATACCCTAACCGGTCATATTTGTGGTTCTGGTTTGCAGCGGTTACATGCCTCCTGAGTATGTGTTGCACGGCCATTTCTCTGTAAAATCTGATGTGTTCAGTTTTGGTGTTTTAGTCCTCGAAATTGTAAGTAGACAGAAGAACATCAGCTTCAACCAATCAAATAATGCTGATGGACTTCTAAGCTATGTAAGTGACAGTAATTAATATCATAAAATTGGAGCCTCGGTGTACTCATTTTTGGATTAGTCTTCACATTAAATAGACAATAATATCTAATTTGAGATTGCCACAAACTTTATTGATCTAACTTGAAGGCTTGGAAGCAATGGATGAATGGAACACCACTAGCTTTGGTGGATCCTAATATAGCAGACCTTCGTGCCAGAGAAGAAGTCATCCGGCGTATCCATATTGGCTTACTCTGTGCTCAGGAAGACGCTGAGGAAAGCCCTAACATGGCCACGGTAGTTCTCATGCTCAATAGCTCTTCTCACACCATGCCAACACCTTCTCGACCTGCATTTTTTGTGTCTAGCGGGACAGAGGGCTGGCGGAAAGAGCAATTGGAGGCTGATGAAGGACCTGTAAATGAAGCATCAATTACTGAATTGTCTCCGAGGTAGAGGAAGAAACCGGGCATCTATATATTTCTCATTGCAACTTGCAAGGCTATGAACCTGGGCAATAGATTTCCAGTCTCGTTGCTTAGCAATTTTTCTTTTTTCTTTCTCACCAAAATAAATGTTATTTCAAAATACTATTACACCAATGGTCTAGCGACCATTTGTATTTGTATACAATACATGCTTTTGTCTTCTCTTGAGCTTTGAAGCTGTTGATGAAGATGTGAATACGCAATGTTTACATTTCTAATGGTAAGTGGAACAAGTTTAATTTCATGAATCGTGTTCAAATATGGCAAATCAATGTTGTCCTAATCACAATAATACTTTGAGAAGATGTTGCTATTAAGCCTAAGAATGCAAGTGGCTATGGTATGTCAAGTCCTTTTCTTTTCTTTTTTCCCATAAAAAATAATACTTTTGATGGAATTTATCATTTTTTTCTTCATACGGAATTCAAATCTGACACTTTTGGTTTCCATATTATTCTCATTATAAATCATTTAAGATTATTGGAGAAAACATCCTGTCTTTTCCAGCATTCTCATCCACTTTAAGGTTCATCATTTCTAAATGTAGATTTTTCCTTGTCGTTAGGCAATTTTGGAAGATTCTCTGAGGAAGACTCGCATTGACTTATAAAGACACGACAATGGACCTGGCCTCAATCAAAATTTCCAGTTTTAATCTGCAGAAAAATGTGCAAAAATTTTCAATTCAACTAATAAAACTTGTTTCAAACATCTCTTACATTGGAGATGACAATGGGTTGGATATCCTTAAAAATTACTCTCACCAAGCCCTAACTCGCAGTTTTACCAAATTCTATTTGGTAATCCTACGGGTTTTAACTCCCATTACCAAATTCTCTTACTCGATGATTTGGATTACCCATCGGATACCTTCTACCTGCCAAGCTGAATAGTACAAAAAAGGAAAATTCAGAAAACGTGTGTAAATGTGAAAGGGCTAATAATAATGGGTTCAATTGGTACAAGGTTATCCTGAATTTGAAAGTGTGCATCATTTGACCACATATACTTACGTAAAACACACCCAAAAAAAAAAAAAAGGTACAAAAAGTATATATGTGCAAAATGGTTGGTGCAAGAGGGCTACTGTATATTCACCAAAATTCTCAGTACGATTGTTCGAGCGATCAGAAATCAACTTATGTATTTCCGGATATACATATGATCCCCAAAATTGTAGATTTTGGAAAGGCAGGACTTTTCAGTTGAACAATCTGAAGCAAACACAAGCAGAGTTATGTGCCAGGCCATGATAAAG